GTGGCCACCTCTCCTTGCTGCTGCTGGTGGGGGGGGATCCCCTCTCCCAGATGCTTCTCGGGGTGCAGTGTGAGGTCAGCTCAAGCCTTGGCTGAGCACTCTGCCTGCCAGGACATTTAACCTTGGCTGCAGCGTGAGGATCAGCTTAGAGAGGAGAATCTGCTGCCTTCAGCACAAACAGCTCCTGCAGCTCCTTCCACATCAGAGATGGAACCAGGGCCATCCCAAATCCTCTTCCCCTGGGGCCTTCAGCTGGTGGCACCACTTCAGTGCTGCCTGCCAGGGGCTGACCCTACCCCCCCCAGCAGAAACGGGTGGGCACCCTGATGTCTAAAGGGGCTTCTGCTCCTGTCTGGGCACCAGGCTTGTCCTGGCTGCTCAGCCCCCACTGTGCCAGGCAGTATTTGCTGTCTTCAAGGAGGAAAGGGGAGAAGAAAAAGGAAGAAGCAAAGCAGCTGTATTTTCATGTACATCATGTGGTGTAGCTCAGAGGACATTAATTCCAAAGATGATCTTTTCTGCAACCACAGCTACCATCAGAAGTGGAACAGATTTTGGAGGGAAATGTCTCAGTTTCTGTGATCTGGGGGTCAGTGCAGCAGTTAGAGTAGCCCCAGGCTTGTGATGAGGAATGACAGTAGCAGGCACCCAGCTACACCCATGACTTGTCCTGAGGGACCCAGCAGAAACCATCCCCTCCACCCTGTCTTACCTGGACACCTTGAACCTGGGGAAGGTGATGCTGTTCTTAATGAACAAGGTGAACTTCTCTGCTTCTGACAACAAGGCAGGGCTGAAAAACACAAGTGGTAACAAGTGTCCATCCCTCAGCAATCCAGCCTCTGGGGAAAGCTCTATTTGGTGGAGATCCATCCAAACAGGACCCAGAAAAACTGGTCATCTCATCCCTTCCTAAGTGAAGATGCCAACACAGTTCAGAAAAGCCCCGAGGAAGGATGGAAGTGCCCTTTAGGGGGCAGAGAAGAAGTTAGGTGCTGGGATTTCAGTTAAGAAGCCCCACCAGCACCAAAAGGTGGCTGGAAGAGAGCTCAAGGTCCTGCATACTTCCCCAGGCTCCTTGGTGGACCCCTGGCTGTCCCATGGAGGCTGGAAGTGGAGAACATCTTATGGGCAGAGCACAACAAGGCAAATGGGATAGACAGGGGCTGCTGGTCCATGCACAGAGCAGCCAGCAGAGGTGGGGTTACCTGCTGGCAAGTGCCAGAAGAAGCCCAAATGCCCTGGGGACACGGGGCAGCGTGTGCAGCCAAGGGGTCTGCATCACCCCAGGCTGTCCTGGCAGCAACCCACAGAGCCCTGCTCTGCCCTACACCGAGTGCTGCTGGGGTGGAAAAGGGGACAACAGTGTTGTTACCTGGGAACGTGGTAATCAACTTCAACAGGGCACCAGCCAAAGATCTCACAGGTCTTCACAGAGCTGTTGAAATGCACACACTTGCCCGTCATGAGCAGGCAGCTGCTCATCCCCCCAGATACTGGGAAATCCCAGCCTCACACTGGGATGGCTGGGGTCTGGTTGGGGCTTCAAGCCATCCAAGGCACAAAACCCTCAGGGCTGTGGTGCCCGGGCAGAGCACAACAAATTAATTGTGGAAAGGGTAATTAATTGTGGCCTCTCAGCTCGGGGCAGTGGCTTCTCTTGCACAGAAGAGCAACTGGGCATTTTTCTTGCTAAAATACACCTCAGAAAATGCTGAGCTGTTAAAGGGACAGCAGTTTGGGGAAAATGCTTTAGGCTTGGTTAAATTCATTGACCTTATGGCGCTCTACAACTATCTGAAAGGTGGTTGTTGGTCTCTTCTTCCAAGTAACTAGTGATGGGACAAGAGGCAATGGGCTTAAGTTACACCAGGAGAGGTTTTGATTAGATACTAGGTATAATTTCTCTCCTGACAGAGTGGTGAGGAGTGGCCCAGGCTGCCCAGGGAGGGGCCGGAGTCCCCATCCTGGG